CTCTCCACAAGTGTGAATTCGCAGAGCACCACTCGAAGAAAGATGGTCACAGGTATGTAACCTACCATTTATATGACTCATGATCTGTTGCTATTCAGTAGCATTCAGGGACCTGGGCCCCCACTATATATTTGCCTTTCTTAAAAACTTCAAAGGGAAAAGGCTTCATTACTCTCAGTTCTGGAAAACAGTTATAAAAGTAATGTATGCTTTTAAAGGATCAATGCTCTTTCTGCCCCCGCTCTTATCTATGTTTATATTTTGACCTCATTTTTGCGGGTGGAGGAGGATATTGGTAATTTGGAGTGTAAGAATTAGAGAGAAAATCTAGGGTAAACTGGGAAAAGGCTTTGGAAAAGAAAATAGGAGTTTTTCTTACAGGTAGTTGAGTGTCTTCTGGGCTGTATGGCCATGTTCCAGAAGCACTCTCTCCTGACATTTTGCCTGCATCTATGGTTGTGAGGTCTTTTGGAAACGAGGAAAATGGGGTTTATATATCTATGGAATAATGTCCAGGGTGGGAGAAAGAACTCTTGTCTACTTGAGGCAGGTGTGAATGTAGCAATGGGCCACCATGATTGGCATTTAATGGCCTAGCTGTTTTCAAGTTTTTCTTAACTTGTAGTGTGAGGAAGGCCTATATACTAGGGCTGGGCGGTTTCGTTCGTTAATTTCGTAATTCGTTATTAATTCATTATTTTTTTTGATATCGAAGCGATATTGAACCATTCAGGAGCAACTAAAAAACGAAACGAATTTTTCCAATTTGTTTCGTAATTGTTTTGAAATTGTTCCGTAATTGTTTCGAAATTGTTTCGTTATTATTTCGTTATTATTTCCATATGTCTGGTGCAAGTTTTATAGTCGTTGTTTGTTTTATCAGTGATAAAAAAAAATTATCACACCAACAGTCAACAACAGAGGGAGAGGGAAGCTTCAGAAGTTCCCCCTGTCCCATTTGGAGGGTTTTTTAGCGTATTGCCATTAACGAATCGATTCGTTATTGTTTCGAAATCGTTTCATAATTTCCAAAATTTCGTAAATATCCAACTTTTTTTTAAAAAAAATTAGGAATTCTTTTAAATAACGAAACGCAAAAACCCCCTAAAAACGAATCGAGTTTAGAAACAAATTTTTCCGTGGTTGGACAGCCCTACTATATACCTCAAAATCCCACATTATCTGCTTTCAACTGGGATACATGGCAGTATGGACTCAGATAACCGTGTTCAAAGCAGATATTGTAGGATTTTCTGCCTCGATATTCTAGGTTATATGACTATGTGGAAGGGCTCAAAGGTATCAAATCCCATCTGATCTTGGAAGCTAAACAGGGGGCCCTTCCACACAGCCCTATATCCCAGAATATCAAGGCAGAAAATCCGACATTATCTGCTTTGAACTGGGTTATCTGAGCCCACACTCAGATCATGTGGGATTTCCTGCCCTGATATTCTGGGATATAGGGCTGTGTGGACGGGCCCAGGGTCAGCCCTAGTTTGTACTTGGATGGGAAATCACTAGTGAATACCAGGTACTATAGTCTATATTTTAGAGGAAGGAACTGGAAAAACCACCTCTAAATATTATTGGATTTACAAACGCTATTGAATGCATGAGGTTGCTACAAATCAACTGGTGACTCAAATGCATGTAAACATAGTATAGAGGTTAGCTATCTTATCAGAATCTGCCAATGAAACTACTTCGTTAACCAAAACTGGGATGTGTCATTGTGTTAGAATTGCTGATTACCGATGAGATCATGATGAACTGAGATGTGATGCTATTCACAACTATTGACTCTTATATATTGTAGAGCACAAAGTGATAATTGTGGGACTTGACAATGCTGGAAAGACCACCATTCTGTACCAGTTGTAAGTATTTTTTTTAAAGTTCATTCTTGTGGATATGAATCAGACCATAATTTAATACCCAGGGGCAACATTTACAAAGTCTGGCAGAATAGCATATTTTTCTGTTTTGAAAAAGTTGTCCTTAAATTCCCCAGTGTCAAATTTCCTCATGCCCTGGAAACTTGCAACTTTGATTTTAATGGGCTGGAAGCTTGTAATTGTGTTTTCCACAGAAGATTTCAGTTGCATTGACTTTAACCCTTTGCATTTAGAGCCACTGGTCTTTAATCTGTTACTGATAATAACCCAGCTGTTTCCATTGGTGGAAGGAGAATATTTTCTTGTTGACCTATCCCATATTGCTCACTTGATTTATTGTACATTGCCGATACACATAATGTTCTTTCAAAGGATTATTTCATGATCTTTTGTGAATACTAGGTATTGTAGTAGAAAAGGTCATAAACAATTGACTAACTGATGTTCTTCAGAAAGATAGATGCACTGTAGCAAAAAAAAAACCCTCTTGTGTCAGGATTATCCTGGCTTATTTTAATTTGTATTGTGTTGTTTTAAGGGCACATTATAAACTCAAGCTAATATCCCAGCAGTGTGCAATGTATCAATAGATCCCTTCATAAAAGGACAGTATACTGCAAAATTCTGAGAACAATGTGAGAACTGTATATAGCTTTTCAGTTGAAAGAGTACACTCTTCTCTTCCTTGTTTTGGTTCCTTATCCTTATGTAACTGAGTATCCTGATTTTCTGGGTGTCTCAATTGATCAGATAATGGGAAACAGGTAGAACTAACTTTCTATTTCAGTTCAGACATTTCATATTTAGGAAACTCTAAGCCTGAATGATTAAGATACAGTGAAGGAAGCAGAGCCCTTGGGCTCATCTTCAGTTACCTTGGCTTGAGGAATGTTGGCACTGAACTTCTAAACATTGATAGCAATTTCTCTGATGGATCTTTTCCATAGCCATAATCATTGAGGGCCCATCTACACTGCCAGATAATTCACTTTCATAATGCAGTCTAACTGCCATATTATGCTGTTCAGTGTAGTTAAATTGTATGATGAAACTGCATTATATGACAGTATACATGGGGCCTGAAATAGAATGTGCATTTCTCAGTTCATCCCAGCTTTCCTGACCAAGTGAACATCCATATCTCTGAACATGTGGAAGATATTATTTTCTTTTAAAAAATGAAAGCATATTTTAATAGATGTGTTTTTCCCAACACAATATTATTGAACACTGTAATTGCTCCCTGCAAAAGAGATGTTATTTGATGTTATGACAACATGTTTTTATATTGCATCTTATTCCATATCTTATTACGTATACTCCCCCCCCCCCCCCCCCGCTCTTTAGCCTCATGAATGAAGTGGTTCATACTTCTCCCACCATTGGAAGCAACGTTGAAGAAATAGTAGTAAAAAACACCCATTTCCTTATGTGGGATATCGGAGGACAGGAGTCGTTGCGGTCATCCTGGAATACGTATTATTCAAATACAGAGGTATGTTGGTGTTCTTCCTACTTCAGGCAGAGGATGAGGACAGTGTTGGCAACTGCATAGATTTCTTCATAAGGAGAAACTAGTACCAAGTTCCCACTTCAGCAGCCACAACCATGAGTGCTTGAAGTGAAGTTCAAGAAAGAGATCATTGAAAAAAAAGTAATAGAGAACAGCTTTTATACCTCAAAAAGGCTTTTCGGTTCAAATTATCTCACATTAAGCATTCTTGATACCCATTTCAGATAATTTGACTGGCCATAATACTGGGAGAAGTAGCTTTCTACAGTGGTAAATGAAAAACAGTCTGAATATGGGTTCCATTTTTGCTGTTGTTGTCATTTTATTTTCACAGTTTTCTTGTGCTCCATTGCCTCATAAGCCAGTCAAGGTTCAGATGAGTTTTCTTTAAAGCAAGTGTATCGCTCTATAAAAGCGCAAGTCGTTTTTAAGGCACCACAAAACTCCCATCCCTGTCTTTTGCTGCAAGAGACAACCTCAGATACTCCCCCAAAAACTCATTCATTAAATATGTTCCTGCCTGCATAGAAACACGCAATTTCAGTTCTTTGTCCAATGGTTATTCTTTCCACAGTTCATTATCCTTGTAGTTGACAGCATTGATCGAGAGAGACTGTCCATCACAAAAGAAGAACTTTACAGAATGTTAGCTCATGAGGTAATTTACATTATCCTTTGGCGTTCCTACCTGAATTCAAGGAATGTAAAAACTGGTTTGGATCCACAGTGTTGTATTAATGAAAAATAGTCTTACTTGTTCACATCAGAGTCCTAATTGTACTTTGTCTTTTGTTGAGTTCATCAAGACTTAGAGAACAGCTTTCTGGGCAGTGGGTGGAAAAGGTGAGGAGAAAGCAAGGCCCTCGCCTCCTATGAATAGAAATATTTTTGCTCCTCCAGAGTGCACTTTGGGGTCTACCCTGATTTTTAAATACACACGCACACAGGAGCATTATGAATGATTTTGCCTATTTCTGCGTAGTTTGAAATATATTCTGATAATCAGTCTGAGTTATTTTAGAATGTTCTTTGGTGTAAACCATTGTACAGTACATGTAAAGGCACTCGATAGGAGTTAATGTTTCCCAAAAGAAAACAAAGATACAATCAATGCTTAAGCAATCGGAAGGCTTGCAACTACAATAGCCTGAAACTGTGTGTGTATTTGTTTTAATGTTGTTTTAATAACAAAGATTATGTAATAGTTATTAAGAGCTTAGTAACAACTGCTTTTCTGATTACATGTTACTTACAGGACTTGCGAAAAGCTGCAGTTCTCATCTTTGCAAACAAGCAAGATATGAAAGGTTGTATGACAGCTGCTGAAATTTCCAAATACCTCACTCTTAGTTCCATAAAGGATCACCCATGGCACATTCAGTCTTGTTGTGCACTAACAGGAGAAGGGTAGGTATTAGTAATAATAGCATAAGCCTGACTAGCAACCTCAAGTTTATCTGTATGACGCTTCTGTTCCTAATTTCAAAGATGCATTATTGATGCCAGCTTCTTGGATAAGGAGTCATGTTTTTAACACTGAAAGACTGATGATGAAAGTTGAAGCTGTACTGTTTTAAGTGTGATGCAACTTTAATTAGCCCTTCACCTGAAATTTTATTACCACAAAGTAAAACCTAAAGGCATATTATAGATTTAGACTTCCATGATCTATTGGCTGAGACCAATATGCATGGAGTATTTAACCAAGACTGAATCTTACGGGAACCCTTCCATTATATGGAGAGAGCAGAGATTTCCAAACTGTGTGTTGTGACATGTTAATATGTTGACTGCAGTGTATATGTTGAGACCTGGGTCGTGACAGTATAGGTGTGTTGTGCAAACATAACAAGAAACCTCTGAATCTATGTGAAATAAGCAATAAAGGAGATGAGGAAGAACTTCCTGACCGTGAGAACCATTCAGCAGTGGAACTCTCTGCCCCGGAGTGTAGTGGAGGCTCCTTCTTTGGAAGCTTTTAAACAAGAGGCTGGATGGCCATCTGTCAGGGGTGCTTTGAATGCAATATTCCTGCTTCTTAGCAGGGGGTTGGACTGGATGGCCCATGAGGTCTCTTCCAACTCTATGATTCTGTTTTTTAAAAATGAAAGTTTTTCATGAGGTATGTTGTGTCCTCATATGTTATATATAACAGGTCATATATGTGTCTGTATCTCTTATAAGGGGTTGGTTTAATCTCCAGTTTGCTAGTAAAACTGAATTGCTGTGTTGTGAAAAGTGCATATCGAAAAAATATGTTACCAAGATGAAGTGTTTGGAAAAAATCTGCTGTAAACTCTTAATTGGTGTGCCAAATTTTCTAATGACAGTTCTGTCAAAAATAATGAACTCCATAGGATAGACAGTCCGCGTGAGTCATTAAAGTTATAATGAAAAGGATAGGGGAAAATATGTCATAGTTTTGAGTTTCTGTATCTATTATGTGAATGCCCCTTCAGGTTTTCTGTTAACTTATGGTTGTCCCATTAATTTCATAGAGTTTTCTTATTCAAACAATTCTCAGAAGTGCGTTTGGTAGTTTTTAAATCTAAAATATAGCCAACAGTACTCCCACTCCAAGTACTGATCCTGCTTAGCCCCCAAGATCTGGTGCCTTTAGAGCAGTGGTTCTCAATCTGTAGGTCCCAGGTGTCTACAACTCCCAGAAATCCCAGCCAGTTTACCAGCTGTTAGGATTTCTAAGAGTTGAAGACCAAAACATCTGAGAACCACTGCTTTAGAGTATTTACTATTTAGGCCTCTGGTATGAAAAATGAGTCGGTACTCATTAAGCAGCATGCTGTAATTTGGTAGTGCATTTGTATTTTTATAATTTAACCTTACTCTGAAATTCAAGGCCTTTGGCTAATAATGTTTGTAAGAAAGTGTGCATTCTATTAAGTGATTGGTTTTGACCTATCAAGCTTTATGTAGCTTAGGTCCAGACTAGTAGGATATCTTAAATGTCTTAAATAATTTAGAAATATGCTTTATTGATTTTCACCCTTTCTCCTACCTCACATCAAACAATCAAGTATTTCAATTCAAATTGTTTAGCCTATTAGAAAAAGTGGTGACTTCTGCAAATTGGAAGATTACAATAGCATAATTTTAGAATTAATTTTGTATATCAGGCCTTATAGATTTAGCACATCAGAACCCATTGCTTTTACCCATTTCTTTGGGTAAAGCTATGACTTGGTGGTGTATGTATGCTCTTAAAATGTATTCTCGGTACACATACACCTTTCATAGCAGAATTCCACAAATGAATTTTCTTTTAAATAAGCTTTACTTACGTAGTATGTTTCTCCTTTTCCAATATGCAGTCTTTACATAATCTGTAAAACACCATTAAAATGAGAAAAATTGCTAGAACTGTTGTCATCAGTGGGACCTGGTTAACATAGGAATGAAATGATGGAATTCTAAAATGGTAAAGGTAAAGGTTTCCCCTGACATTAAGTCTAGCTGTGTTTGTATCTAGGAGTGGTGCTCATCTCCCTGGTCAAAGTGGTCCCTGGTCAAAAAAAGGTTGGGAACCACTGCTCTAGTTAGACATTTTTGTGTGTTTGTGTGGTACATTGGTTAGCCAGTTGGCATAGTCTCTTTCCATGGAGTAATGCCATGTTATGCTATGTATAGTTATTGAGATGGGTTTCTTTTTCTCTTTTCTGCAGATTGTGTCAAGGTTTAGAATGGATGACTTCTCGAATTGGCGTAAGATAACTTCTGGAAAGAAATTGGTGCTTATCCTATGGATGAATTCCATTGTTGTACACTTGACTGCTGAGGGAGCAACATGTTTAGAACATTGGAAACCTCCACAAGCAACACTTGAATCAAGTGCAGCTAACAGAAACTCAGAAGTATTTACCTTAAAATGCACTAATCTTGGATGAATGGATGAATGAACATAGGAACAATTGGGAAGTTCTCCTGACTACATAAGCTACATGTCTGCCTTGTAACATTTTTATTGAGAAATTTCCTTCAGACTGCCTACATTAATAGACTGCATCTACAGGAGATTTCCTTCCTTTCCTGTTTCCATGCCGCAACACATTCGCATTATACCCAAACTGGGCATTAAAATCAACGTATTTCCAGATGATGAGATTTCAAATATTGTTACACTACCAGCATTCTCTAACAACGGAACAGTTATTTATTTGCCACCATTACCTTTCTGGTTACATAAATGTTATAACGTTTTTGTCTTGTCAAACAAATACCGTTTTTTAAAAAAAGCAAAACATTTCATTTTATTGCTAAATGCTTTATACATTGGGCTCATCTGGAAAGCCAAATTATTTTGTGTGAAATAACAGTGACATATGCTTCATGTTAGCAAGGAGGATGAGTGGACAGCACTGTGTTTTAACAATGCAAGTTTTAACAATGCAAGTAGGGAAAAAACTATTAAATAAGGACATAGTTTTCCCAGCAATGCTGAAAACATTATGTGAAGCCAAACTCTTGTGGATATTGTGCTATTAACCAATGAGGTTCTACAATCTAATTCTAAATAACTTCAAAATGGAAGTCAGCCTTTTGAAGTGTGCATGTGTGTTATAATACATATATATACAAATGCTAAAAGTAATTATCCCTTCATTGGAGAAAAACAGAGCCCAAAGTGATGAATATAACTGAGTTCTCATACATTTGCCCATTTTTTTATAGAAAGCTTGCTATTTTATATACACATGTATGTGTACCCTTCCCTCCATAAATCAGTCTCATTCATATACGTCATATACACAATGCCTTATTTTACTTGCTACATTAAAGTGGCTTTCTTTCCCCTGCCAAAAAACAAATTACTGTAAAATTTTCAGTACATTGCCAGTAGTGTGTTTAAAACCACCACATTGTCTATATATTATAACAATGGATTTTCAGTCTTAAAGCAGTGTTCAGTATATATGATCTGATACCCAGCATTACAGAAATACTCCGAAAAGGAAGGTTGTCTTCAGGACTTTCCTGAAGTGCCAAATAACTTTTAGGATATTACTGGCCACAGATCAATTCTCCTTTGTGACATAATACATGCAAATATGTATTGAAGCTGAATGTTCATGGTTTCATCATTTTCCCCCTTAAAGGTGACATCTAAAGTGATGCAAATTCTTCACCTGCAGAATAGTTAGAAAATAAAACTTTCCCATGGTGGAATTGCACCCCTTTTTTTGTAAAAGAGGCAGATATATGTTTTTCTTACCTTGCCATGGCTAAATAGTAGATGCTTTGTATGAGGGGATTATTTCATGACCCATTTCTATTTTCCTCTATCCCTGCCCAGTATTGCATTTCATTGAAGATTCTGGCCATGAAAGCCTACGACAGTACAAGGCTTTCATGGTTAAAATATCTGTAGGCTTTTTAGAAATGAGAACCAACATATGTGCCATTAATCCCCAACTAGCCATGGTGTCAGCTCCTTACATGCTTTTGACTGATGGCATCTCTTCTTTTACACTTAAATGCATGAAGCAACTGCATTGGTCTACATACTACAAGAAATGGAGGCATATACTCATTTTAAATCTCAAAACTTGGTGAGCTTGAGGTATAATTAGAAACCTGGAACGTTGCCCAATCTCGGAGCAAACAACTTCAACTTTTAGCACAATATTGTCTGCTCTGACCAGTTGCATCTCTCTGAGGTGTCAGGCAGAAGTCTCTTTGTCACTTATTTGAATTTTTCCCAACTGGAGATGCTGGGTTTCACTTGGGACAAAGCATGTTTTGTATTCTTCAGCTGTGACCCCACTCCAGTTATATTCTGTCTAATCAAATGGATTTCAATGAACTTGGAAGTTTCTTTTTTATTCCTGCTAACTCATCACAATGTTTAAAAATGATTCCAAAAAGCCCTTTAAAACTAACTATGAAAGTATTTAAAATATTACTTCTTAAGCCAATAAAATGACTTGGTTCCCATTCATAAGGTCATTCTTAAAATATAGCTCCACTCTGCCCTTATTTTTAAAAAGGGGAAATTATTACAGGTACGAGTTCTTTCTAAGCTCTACGAGATTGGGAGTAATCCATAGACGTTTGTGGTCCTAGTCTCTCAGTTCCTTCTCATTTTTTTAAAATCAATGCAGAAAGTTGGTGCTAAATTACAAGGGAATGTTTTAGCTGGGACAGTATACATGTGCCAATAAAATCATGTTTGTGGTGAAGTATCCTAAATACTCACGTATAAGTCTAGAAATTTTAATTTAAAAAATCAGTGCCCAAAACATTGGTCAACTTATCTATAGGTCAATGTGAATTGTACTTTAACTCTTATCAAAAAAGAAATCCCCATCTCTGAGTAGAGTGGCAAAGGGCAAGAACTTAGTTCATCCTAGAGAACCTAAAAACACACCAACCATTTCTACTATTTATACTCTAGTCCCGCTTCTGGTGTTTATGAATGCTTGGGCAAGGAAATGGCACCACCGACCAGGGGTCACTGTCCCCCTGATGTGGCATTGGTGCTTTCCTGTCTCCACAAAACGGCCCTCAGCTTATCCTTGGGTCATATCAAAAATCCTAATGTTGGCCTCCTAAATTTCCTTTGACTTATACATGTGATTGACTTATATATGCCATATTTCCATTTGTTAGCAATGCTAAAATCTTTCACAGAGTAATTATGAGTTTACCATCAATTATTTCTAAGGGGGCAAAAGCATTCAAAGTTTAAGATATAGCTCTTGCCATGCTACAAGAGCCCTTTTTAACCAAGATAATATAGATGTTTGACCACTCATATGGTACTATGTTTTACCCGACTGTATACTTTTTATATCAAACGATCCGCATGATATTGCCTTGTAATTATTTTGCTGAGGTGAATTAAAATGCTAGGTTGTACAACACAGACTTGATCTTCTTAAAAAGTATTACAAAACTGGCTGAAGTGCAGTATTGATTATGAAAAGGGGAAAGAAGGGGCAGAGGTGTTGATGTAACAGTAACAAAAGGCTGGCTGGCATGTATATGCACTTGCACACTCTTACATGCATACAAACTCTCGCTGTGGATTGCAACCATGATTATTTTTTCTGTAATAGGTAATAAATATATGCATACTGAATATATTTCTTTAGTGAGTAACGTACAAAGCCAACATTGAGGCACACCGCATTTAGCAACAATATTCTTATTTGGTATGGAAATATTCACTGTAAAGAGGGGAAAGCAGGATATAATAATAAGAATAATCATTCGTTTTTATTTGAATACCAAAACTACATAAGATATTTTTTCCACTTACATATTCTGAAAAGAAGAAAAAATGGTAAGAATGGAAAGAAAATGGCAAAAACACAATGTCGTGTGCCTTCATGTTGTTTATATTCACTGTGAGGTGAACCCACCATGACATTGTCTTTGCAAGATTTATTCAGAAGGAGTTTGACATTGCCTTCCTTAGAGGATGAGGCCCCATCTACTCTGCTATATAAAATTCAGATTATTTGCTTTGAACTGGATTATATGCATCTACACTGCCATATAATCAAGTTTAAAGCAGATAATACGGATTTTTTATGGCAGTGTGGAAGGGGCCTGAGAAAACGTGATTTCTCCAGGGTTACTCTCTAGCCCAGTGGTTCCCAACCTGTGGTCAGTGGACCACCAGAGGTCCACAAGAACTAAAATATGGTTCGTGGCCTTACCGTTAATACATCTTTGCAACAAGAGTGACTGGTCGTTCTGTATCAGAAACTAGAGCTGATGTGGTCTATCCAATGCAATTTTCTGAATCGGCACCCCGAATAACCAAACCAAATCTAAAGTTGGCCAAAAACTGATTCGTAACCCTTTTGGTCCTAATGTTGAAGAGTGGTCCGTGGTCCCTGGTGAAAATAAAGTTGGGAACTACTGTTCTAGCCAAACAGAGATTCAAATCCTAGTCTTCTAGAATCTATATCTTTCGAAAAGTATCAGTGAGTGCATTGCCCCAGCTGATGTCATGGTACATGACAGTCATCATCTCTAATATAGGCAGTATAGGTAGTTGCATGAAAGGAGTTTGTTGTTTTTCTTGACTGTCCTTTGGGTAATGAAGAAGGAACATGAATATAGCTTGGATGAAATTTTATGGAATAAAAATATGGAATTCAATTTAACTCCAAATGTTATACACAACATCTATACCCTATATCTTACACCAGCCTTAGGAAAAGAGAAAATCTGCATTACAATTGGATAAAATCAAGCCATAGAATAATCATAATAATACTTTATTTATGTCCTGCCTCCTCTCGCCAAAGGGAGTCCCAAGTGGCTGAAGCCATGACCCTGAGTTTGCAAGACCTCCGCAAATTGTCATTAATGGTGTTTTGGAAGTCTCTCACCATAAGTGGATGCTGACTATATACAACAGCCTTTCAGGAAGGAAGTCCCACCAGTGTTTTAAATAACAATGCCTATCAGCTCCAGCCCTCACAGCCATGGATGAGTTGTGATGGGGGTTTAGTTTGGAACATCTATAAACCCAATTTGGGAATTTGTTGAGGTAGATCAACAAATTCTGTATGCTGTCTTGTTTCTTATATCTAAGCAACCACTTCTACAACTATCATCTATTGTTTGCATTCATTTTCTTTTTTGGTGCTCAGATGGGAAGAAAGTTAATTTTGTTGTCTTCCAACCACCGATGGAAGAAATCAAGAACCGACCTGCTGAGGTCGGCCGCCCTTCGGATTGTTCCATCTGTGCCTGATCCCGGCGCTGTGGTGCCCGCTGGTGGACCCCCCTGTTGCCGCCTAGGCTGCTGCCGGCTGCCGGCTGCTGCCGAGCCTCTGCTGTGCGCCGCCATCTTGCCGCTGTTGGACCTTGCGATCTTGCGGCCGGGAAGAGGTAGCTGCTGGAGGGAGGCCGAGAGGGAGAGGCAGCCGGGAGGCCGAGGGGCCGAGAGGAGGTGGTTTGCAACAACTGCGGTCGCCTTGTTGGGGGCGGACCGCCATCGCCGCCTAGGGCCGCCTGCTCCCTTGGCGGGGTGCTGGGAGGAGTGAGCCGGGACTCCATAGCGGCCGGCGCCGAGACCATCTGGACCGCCTGCTCCCTTGGCGGGGTGCTGGGAGGAGTGAGCCGGGACTCCGTAGCGGCCGGCGCCGAGACCATCGAGACCATCTGGGCCAGTTCTGCCATCTGGGCCTTCCTCTTCCCCGCCCCCCTGCTGGAGCCGATTAAGGCGGCCGGGGCTGCCGCCGCCGCGAACGCCGCCCCAGCTGGGGCCTCTGCTGCCTGGGCTTCCGAGGCTGCTGCCGACGCGAGCGCCGCCCCGGCCGGGGCCTCTGCCGCCTGGGCCTACCACGCGGGCCTGGGCCTACCACGCGGGCTGCTGCGCTGTGGGCATCGTCCGGCTGGGCCTTTACCATCGGTCCTTTCCGGCTAGGCCTCCTCCATCTGGCCTGCATAAGACGCCCACCATCGGGCCTAACATCGCCCATCATCGCTGCTCCTCCCAATTGGGCTTTTCCATCTGAGCCTATTCCAGATGCTAGGCCTCTACCACCCAGGCCCCGCGAGCGGGCCGGTGCATCGCAAGGGCTATTGGAACTGGGCCCTGGGCTACTTGAGCCAGGCCCAGGCCACCTGGCCCTCTACCATCTTCCACCACTAGCTGGGCAAGCAATGTGTAGACCTCTTTGTGCTGACCTTCTGTGTTGACCGATATTGTGTAGACCTTCTTGTGCTGTCCTTTTTCTGTGTTGATCGATATTGTGATAGACCAATTGTGCTGACCACCGCCGTGTTAACCATCTCCGGAAGATTGAAGACTCATCCGCTTTCTTACATCAGCCGTCCATAGATTACACCTTGAATCATAATAACTTTACCTAATTGTTATCACTGACAACCTCTTAATAGTGTGTTTACATATTACTAACATAGTACGTTCCTTGTTTGCCTTTTGCTGCTAATTTGGTATTAAGAACGCAATATAGCACTTTAAGGCGCCTGCCTACTTGCTGCTAAATTGTACTAGCACTTACGCCCCTTTCCCTACCCTCTATGCCGCACTTTAGTTAGCGCTGAGAGCCAGATTCGGGTATTTGCACTTTAAGATCCTTGCACTTTATGAATTTGCCCCAACGGCACGCAGATGTATTGCTGACTGTGTTGCACTTTAAGACTCTGCACTTTACGAACTATCTAACTGTCGTGGCTGAAACGCTTATTACCATCTGGACTATTATTATCCATGTGGTTCCCCATCCCCCTATTTGTACTGTCCCTGTTATTAGTGACCAGTGGAAGGGGCAAGGGAGGAAGTGGGCTGGAGCCTGTGAACAATAATGAGGCGGGGAGGGGGGAGAAAGGGAAGCAAGGGAGTTGGCAAGGGCCAACAAACCAAACAACTAGCGAAACAGAAATTAAGACCTTGGTTTTGGACTGCGGCATGGAGGAGGGGAGGTGTTCCACTAGCCGAGGGGCCCCCATAGAGGTCATGGTGGGGAGGGGGAGATGCGGAAAAAGGAGACCTCAAATTCGGCCTAATTCGGACCGCTTATCAACATTAATAACCCCAAACCGGTCTCCTAAGGTAAATTGGTGTAACCAGGTGAGCGGGCCCTCTGGATTGAAGGTGGTGCTGCTGAACGCCAGATCTGTCAACGGAAAAACGACCTTTATCCAGGATTTAATCCTGGATGAGCGGGCAGATCTGGCGTGCATCACGGAGACCTGGCTGGATGAAGCTGGAGGCGTGAATCTTACCCAGCTTTGTCCTCCAGGCTTCTCCGTACAGCACCAACCGAGATCCGGAGGACGGGGAGGCGGGGTTGCAGTGGTCTATAGAGATTCCATCCATCTGACCAGGAGCCCCATCCCGCAGACCACAAATTTTGAATGTGTCCACCTGAGGGTGGGTGACCGGGACAGAATAGGGATTCTGCTAGTGTACCGTCCACCTCGCTGCACTACAGTCTCCCTACCTGAGCTAGCGGGGGTAGTCTCGAGCCTGGCGTTGGAGTCTCACGGCTTCTTGTGCTGGGAGACTTCAATATCCATGCCGAGGCGACCCTCACAGGAGCGGCTCAGGACTTCATGTCTGCCATGGCAACCATGGGGCTATCCCAACAAGTAACTGGCCCCACTCACAGTGCAGGACATACATTGGACTTAGTTTTCTGCCAGGGATGGGAGGAAGGTGGCGGTGTTGAGGAGTTGACCATCTCTCCGTTGCCATGGACTGACCACTTCCTGATCAGATTTAGGCTCACTGCGCCCCCTAACCTCCGCAAAGGTGGAGGACCCATTAAGATGGTCCGCCCCAGGAGGCTTATGGATCCTAATGGATTCCTGACGGCTCTTGGGGATTTTCCCGCCTCCTCGGTAGGTGACCATGTCGAGGCCTTGGTCGCTCTCTGGAATGGGGAGATGGCCAGGGCAATTGACATGATCGCTCCGGAACGTCCCCTCTCAAGTAGCCGAGCTAAACCAGCTCCTTGGTTTACTGAGGAGCTGGCAGTGATGAAGCGAAGGAAGAGGGAACTAGAGAGCGTGTGGCGTTCGGACCCAAGCGAGTCAAATCGAGCACGGTTTGTGTCCTTTCTAAGGGCATATGCCGCGGCAATAAAAGCCGCAAAGAAAACTTTCTTTGCGGCCACTATTGCGTCTGCAAAAAACCGTCCGGCGGAGTTGTTTCGGATTGTCAGAGGTCTTGACAATTCGGTCACAATTCGGGAGCCCTGACAATTCGACAATTCGGGAGCCCTGACAATTCGGTCACGCACTGCGAAGCATTTGCTCGGTTCTTTGCAGACAAAGTCGCCTTGATCCGTTCTGGGCTGGACACTATGCAGTCTTAAATGCAGTCTCTGAGGATGTGACACGAGCACCTGCTTGTCCTATTTTGATGGATTCTTTTCAGTTTGTGAACCCGAGGATGTGGACAAGATACTTGGAGGAATGAGGCCCACCACGTCCATCCTAGACCCCTGCCCATCCTGGCTTCTGAAGGAGGTCAGAGGGGGATTGGCTGAGTGGGTAACGGTGGTGGTTAATGCCTCCCTTCGGGAAGGCAAGATTCCAGCGAGCTTAAAACAAGCAATTATAAAACCGCTGTTGAAGAAACCATCACTGGACCCCACTAAATTTGACAACTTTCGGCCTGTTTCCAATCTCCCCTTTTTGGGCAAAGTCATGGAAAGCGTGGTGGCCTCACAACTCCAGGTATTCTTGAGAGACACGGATTATCTGGATTCGGCACAGTCTGGTTTCAGACCGGGACATGGAACTGAGACGGTCTTGGTCGCCTTAGTGGATGATCTGCGCCGGGAGCTAGACAGGGGGAGTGTGTCCCTGTTGGTGCTCCTGGACCTCTCAGCGGCCTTCGATACCGTCGACCACGGTATCCTTCTGGGGCGCCTTGCGGAAATGGGTCTTGGGGGCACTGCTCTGCAGTGGCTCCAGTCATTTCTGGAGGGCCGCACCCAGAAGGTGTTATTGGGGGACTCCTGTTCAACACCACAGCCTTTGACCTGTGGGGTTCCACAGGGCTCTATACTGTCCCCCATGCTGTTTAATATCTACATGAAGCCGCTGGGTGAGATCATCCGGAGTTTCGGGGTGCGGTGTCATCTGTACGCAGATGATGTCCAACTCTGTCCCTCCTTCCCACCTGCTACTAAGGAGGCTGTCGAGGTCCTGAACCGGTGCCTGGCCGCTGTAATGGTCTGGATGAGGGCGAACAAACTGAAATTAAATCCAGACAAGACAGAGGTACTCCTGGTCAGTCGCAAGGCCGAACAGGTTATAGGGTTACAGCCTGTGCTGGATGGGGTCGCACTCCCCTTGAAGGCGCAGGTTCGCAGCTTGGTTGTGATCCTGGATTCATCGTTGAGCCTGGATCCCCAGGTTTCAGCGGTGACCAGGGGAGCATTTGCACAGCTCAGGCTCGTGCGCCAGCTGCGCCCGTACCTTGGGAAGTCTGACTTGGCCACGGTGGTACACGCTCTGGTCACATCTCGCCTTGACTACTGCAACGCTCTCTACGTGGGGCTGCCCTTGAAGACGGCCCGGAAGCTTCAGCTAGTCCAGCGCGCGGCAGCCATGTTACTAACAGGAGCGGGACGCAGGGAGCATACAACCTCGTTGTCCCAGCTCCACTGGCTGCCGATTTGCTACCGGGCCCAATTTAAGGTGCTGGTGTTATCCTACAAAGCCCTAAACGGTTCCGGCCCAAAATACCTTTCGGACCGCATCTCGGCCTATGAGCCCACGAGGGCCTTGAGATCGTCTGGGGAGGCCCTTCTCTCGATCCCGCCTGCCTCACAGGCACGTCTGGCAGGGACGAGAGAGAGGGCCTTCTCGGTGGTGGCCCCCCGGCTGTGGAACACCCTCCCTGTTGACATCAGACAGGCGCCCTCCCTTATGTCTTTCCGTAAGAGCCTAAAGACATGGCTATTTGAGAAGGCATTTAACTGAGTGCTACATTAATTGGTAATGACAACTGGAACGGAATATGGATTACGAGATTGGTTATGATTCTACGATGAGACGGAGCGGATTATTTAGTGTAATTATATTATTGTGTATTAGTGATATGTTGATTTTTTGTTATTGCTTTATTGTAAATTGTCTTTTATATGTTGTACACCGCCGTGAGTCGCCCTAGGGCTGAGAACGGCGGTCAATAAATGCAGCAAATAAATAATAAATAAATAAATAAAACTTTCAGCAACATATCCCCAAACCTCAGAGTCCTAAAAGAAAGTTAGAAACCAAAGTTATATAAAGATAACGATAGGATGCATTAGATAATGTGAAATGTGCCTTGTGGCTACAGTGTAATGGCTTCCTTTGCCATCTGGAATTTCTTGCCAAGCTGGTTTTGATTGCTCTTAAGAACATAAATACACTATGCCTCCATAATAAGAGCTACAACCAGCTTTAGCTGCTATACCGGATGTATCTGGAGGATTCTTAGCTTGTAATACTAAAACTGCCTTTATGATATCAAACCCTATAGAATCTGGGCTTCCTTGTGGGTAGTGGTTTACTATTTTACAGTGTTGGCAACAGTAGGATAGTCATAAGAAAGGGTGAATCCAACTATCCTCAAGGTGTCATAATTACTTCAGCCATATTTTCAGTGCTGCTTATTAAAAATGCTGTTAAGCTTGGCATTGTTTAGTGTATAATTTGATTAGACATCGTTAAGATGATATCCTGTTTTTAGTATAATTATAGGGTTACATATGACTGATCCAGGAAATGGGAAGATCCTGGGTATAGAAGCTAGAGCCAAAGAAGATGAACCCAGAATAATGGCACCGAAAACAATCAGTAAAGGATGAATATGTGCATGGATACAGGGCTCTTATTGGAGTTATTTAATAGAATTGGATTAAAAAAAATACCAGTTCTTGTCCTATTAAATAGCTGCAATATGACCCCTGTATCAACAAGGGATATATTCCTGATCCTTCTAGGGAAACAGTAAACTGTGAACAATAATGAACTCTATTGAAATGAATGATTTTTTCCCCCTGGGAGTTACTGTATGACCTAGAAAATGGCTGGACAGGTATTCTTTTTCTGAGCTTTCTTGGTCCTCCAGGACAATACTGGTAACTTCTGGTGGATGTATACCATATATTTGCCTGGAGGATTTAGGAAATTAGTAGAAAGGACATATTTAGTTGCATATGGGTAAGTAACCCCCCACACCTATAAGTATGGGGATCATACTGTACATTCCTATCAGTTGAAATGTATTGACCGTAAACCTGCATGCCTAGATAAGACACATAGGTCTTCACCCCAACATCCAAATATCGCTTTAAGGCTTCCCTGAGTCCCCTTTGGGGTGAGAAGGGCAGGGTATAAATATGGTAAATAAATAAACATGACATTAAAAAAACATGTCAAAGGTAATATAATATATGTAATAGTTGCATATCCAAAGAGAATTACATTCCTGGCTTTCGGATGCATAGAGGAAGCAAATGGCCTTACGCAACTGAATCCATCAAACAACAAGGCTGTAATTAGAATATCAGATGAAAAGCTACCCCCCCCCCCCCCCCCCCCCCCCGAATTGAAATCCTGGCTACGGGCCTGCATGGGGGCCATTTTTCCAGCTCTGGGAGCCACAATGGACTGCATCTTCCTTCAAAATTGGAAGAGCTTGTTAAGCCTGTTTCTGATTCTATATCTTGTTCCAAAGACAATTACTACTATATACAAACATTTCATCCTATCTTAGGTCAATTTGATACTTGGCATAAGGAACAAAATACACGCACAACATATACTTTGAAAATAGAAGTTTTGAAAATGTTAAAAATGGACTAGGGAGGAAAATATGGTTTAATTTAGTTTAATCTTTAATTTTATCTCAACATTCTCATACCATAAACACAAGGTAATCTAGAAGGGTATAGTTTATTTCTCGTGTCAGGGCAGCCAGTCAATTATATTACATTTCTATCAGAACAAAGCAAACAAACAGAGAAAATACAAAATGTGTGAGTTTGGTAGTTGATTAAATGTCCTTTGACCAGTATCTGGCCACTTGGAGTGCTTCTGGTGTTGCTGCAAGAAGGTCCTCCATTGTGCATGTGGCTGGGCTCAGGTTGCATTGCAGCAGGTGGTCAGTGGTTTGCTCCTCTCCGCACTCGCATGTCGAGTGCGGAAGGGTATAGTAATTTAGTACCATTTTTGAAAAAGACTGGTGTAAAGGTTAGGTATTAGCTACAATATGAACAGTGAAGAAAGATCCTGCGAGCAGATGTGTTGTATCACAGCAAGGTATTATCTACTAGACCAGTATTCTGTTTCCCCAATGGCCAATCAGAAGCCTACACAAATCTCCCAACAAATAGGACAGGATAATAGCATCCCCTTGTGACCATTCTACAATTGGCACCCTGAAGTGTGCTGCCTTCAGCAATACAAATCTATTAGTATTTATTTGATCTTTCATTTTAGTGTGTCTGGAAGACTCATAGAGAGCTGTCTCTTTAAATAATTCAAAGAGTGAGCACTGATTTTTGACATTCATAGGGAATATCTTACAGTTCAGTGTGTAGCATTTGTAATAATGTGAAGAGGTATTTGCAATTTGTGTCGTTGTATATTGTACGTTGCTTTTTATAATGTGTGTTTTGATAAGGCCAAATGGCTGATCAATAAAAATAATTTCATTTCATTTTGTGTTGTAAACAGACAATTACTTTGGCTCTGTTGAACCACATCTTGTAGCCTTCTACTTGCGCTGTAAGCAATGTTCACCACTAATATAATTATAAGCTGGAATTCTTTATCATGGTCTACATCAGTGGTTCTTAACCTGGGGTCCCCAGATATTTTTGGCCTTCAACTCCCAGAAATCCTAACAGCTGGTAAACCGGCTGGGATTTCTGGGAGTTGTAGGCCAAAAACATCTGGGGACACCAGACTGAGAACCACTGGTCTACCTCATTAAAATTAACAAGTGCTTAGTTAATGTAGGAGAAGCACTTATACAAATGTGCTAATTATGTATGCAAGAGATGTCCATAATTCCTTGTGAGATAATTTATTTTGCATGCAGAAGTAAATCCCTGGTATAGAATCAAAGAATATTAGCACAGAAAGGGGTCAGCTGGGTTGTCTCGTCCAATCCCATACAATGCAGGAATAGCCAATTGCAGTTATCCTTCGACATTTGGAGTTTTGACTTTTGTTGGTTTCATTTCATGTGTTTGATTAAAACTATTCTCTCTAGAAATTTCTAGGCCTTCCAGTGCAAACTCCCTCCCATGCTGGAGGACAAGGAAAATTCTAGAGAAAACACCCCAGCTATGTCATAACTACATTAAATTGGTTTTATTCTGCTTTCAGTGAGACATTTTGCATTAGGCACTCTCAGAGAAAGAAGTAGAAACAGACTCTAATACTGGGTGTTATAATAATTATATTGGTTACATAGACAACAGGGGATATTGCATCAACATTTACACATATACTCTAACATTCATTCATTCATTCATCAAGTATTCTTACAATTCTTGTTGAAGATGATCAGCTTCTTGAGAGGAGGTGGCAGTTCATAATGGTGTTCAGAAATGTGTACTGTTGGTCTGACACACTTTTTCGAGAGAAAGGGGTCCTTTAAAGTAGTATTTTCTGTTGATGTGGTTCTAAAACTTGTACATTACTGACAGACAGATTCCATCAGTTCCTGGACAGATCTTGGTTTGGTTTTGTTTAATTGATTTTCCTTATTAAGGAGCCTTGTAAACATTTCTGTAAGGAGTCCTTATTTAAAAGAACAATTGCCTTTGGCAATGTAAACAAGTTGTTTTTCCACAAAGAGTTCATCAAGTCAGCAACGTCAACAATCATTTGTCTCAGGTCTCATCAGCAATTTTTAAGTGTAGTCCATGAGTTATTCACCACTTTCTTGTTTTCCAGGCCTCATTCTTTAGGATGGTATCTTCAGCCCAATTAGACGGCATTGGTATGCCTTTCATACAATCTCACTCAAACTATACATCATATTTTATCATGACAGCTACACTGCCATATAATGCAGTTTTGAACTGCATTATATGGCAATATAGATTATTATTATTATTATTATTATTATTATTATTATTTATTAATACGCTTGTATACCGCTAATATCTCAGCCTAAAACGGCGACTCATTGCGGTTTACAACACTTAAAACAACAATATTCAATTTAAAAACATAAAATACATATACAGTACACAGTATCGGGCCACCAATACAGACCGATGCATCTCTTAGTTAAAATCATAATCCAATTTCGTCGTCTATAATTACCAGTCCTTGATCATCAACTTCATCGCACCGGATTAACCGAATGCTTGTTCAAACATCCATGTCTTCAGTTTTTTTCGAAATACCATCAGCGAGGAGGCTGATCTTATCTCTATAGGGAGGGCATTCCAAAGCCGAGGGGCCACCACAGAGAAGGCCCTGTCTCTCGTTCCCGCCAGCCGCACTTCTGAAGCCGGAGGGACAGAGAGCAGGGACTCTCCAGAAGATCTTAGGGTCCTGGTTGGCTGATAGGCTGAGATACGTTCGGATAGATATGTTGGGCCAGAACCGTTTAGGGCTTTAAAGGCCAACGCCAGCACTTTGAATTGGGTCCGGTAGCAAATCGGCAGCCAGTGGAGCTGGTACAGCAGAGGAGTCGTATGCTCCCTGCGCCCCGCTCCTGTTAATACCATGGCCGCCGCCCGTTGGACTAATTGGAGCTTCCGAGCCGTCTTCAAAGGCAACCCCACGTAGAGAGCGTTGCAGTAGTCAAGGCGGGATGTAACCAGAGCGTGGACTACCGTGGCCAAGTCAGACTTCCCAAGGTACGGTCGCAGTTGGCGCACGAGTCTTAACTGTGCGAATGCTCCCCTGGTCACCGCCGAAACCTGGGGTTCCAGGCTCAGCGATGATTCCAGGATCACACCCAAGCTGCGAACCTGCGTCTTCAGGGGGAGTGTAACCCCATCAAGCACAGGCTGTAACCCTATGCCCTGTTCGGCCTTGCGACTGACCAGGAGTACCTCTGTCTTGTCTGGATTTAGTTTCAATTTGTTCGCCCTCATCCAGACCGTTACAGCGGCCAGGCACCGGTTCAGGACTTCGACAGCCTCCTTAGTAGCAGGTGGAAAGGAGTGACAGAGTTGGACATCATCTGCGTACAGATGACATCGCACTCCGAAACTCCGGATGATCTCGCCCAGCGGCTTCATGTAGATGTTAAACAACATGGGAGACAGTATTGAACCCTGAGGAACCCCACAAAACAAAGGTTGTGGGGTAGAACAGGAGTCCCCCAATAACACCTTCTGAGACCGACCCTCGAGGAATGACCGGAGCCACTGCAGAACAGTACCTCCGAGACCCATTCCCGCGAGGCGTCCCAGAAGGATACCGTGGTCGACGGTATCGAAGGCTGCTGAGAGGTCGAGCAGCACCAACAGGGACACACTCCCCCTGTCGAGCTCCCGACGCAGATCATCCACTAAGGCGACCAAGGCTGTCTCGGTACCATGCCCCGGCCTAAAGCCAGACTGTGCCGGAGTCTAGATAATCCGTGTCTACCAAGAATGCCTGGAGTTGTGAGGCCACCACACGTTCCATGACTTTGCCCAAGAAGGGGAGATTGGAAACAGGCCGATAGTTGACGAATTGAGTGGGGTCCAATGATGGCTTCTTCAACAGCGGTTTTATTACAGCTTGCTTTAAGCTGGCTGGAATTTTGCCTTCCCGAAGGGAGGCATTAACCACCACCTTCACCCACTCGGCCAATCCCCCTCTGGCCTCCTTCAGAA